ATGGCTGAAAAGTAACTCTATAGCTCATAGATGTCCTATAAATTAAGTGTTTGGCTGCGCCCAGATTTAAATCTGAGCTCTACCTGTTACAGCTTGCCTTGACCCCATCTGTTTGTGCCAATATCTGTGGCTGTAAGTTCAAAACCTAGCATTAGTTATGGATTTATGGAGTGCCACGTGAATCACCGCTTGTTCAAATCAGGGAGGTTCTTGCAGCAACACTGCTTGAATAACTTCAGGACTTTACTCTCAAGATGTTGGTAATAGTATTCTCATTATTAACGAATACTATTTGCATATTAGTGGCTAATATTTTTTTGTCTTAATATTTAAATGAAAACTTCATAATAATTACAAAGTATGCAAACCAGTACATAACAAAGGTCCTTGTACACAAAGGAACAGAACTGAGTTGATTTAGAGAGGAAGGCTTGCAAAGATTCTGTCAGAGAAGAGATGGAGAAGTCTCTTGCCTATTTTAAGAACCATGTTGACTGCTGAGCTGAAACGAGGGTCTGCTGGACAGGGGTTTATCAGAGAGAAACATTGAGGCTGTGCTCTGAATCACAAAGAGCTGAAAAACATTGAGGTGCCACCATCTATTTCAGTGCTTACAGGCTGGCCGGATTGGGATCTGCTAAGGCTAAGAGCACAATTTAAAATCTGATTCTTGGCCTTTGTTAACAAGTCCCTTTGGATTTCAAACAAAAAATAAGTTTCAAGGCTGACACAGAAACATTAAAACCCTGCCAAAATTGCCTATCAGCTGGCTATTAATCACATCCTGGAACAGGATTTCAGAAATTAAATGAAAGAATTAGCCATCCCTTTAGAATAGCACTGGAAACAAAATTTAAGATGAACCCTATAAGAGACAATATTCAAATCTAAGAGAATGGTAAGTGTTTGAATTGGATTTCCGTTCCCCAACATTCTACAACACCTCCAGTTAAATTTCTCTAAACATTTTAACAAAATGCTTTTTGCTGTCTATTTTAATGGTGTTTTTATTATAATCCAAACTAACAAGACTGATTAAATTGTATTACAGCAGGTAGGCTATATAACACATTATAGTTGTGTCCCAAATAGTGTACAGTACTATACACTATGTACACTATTTATGTAGGTTATTTTGTCATCCAAAATCTGTGTCTGATAGCCCTTATAAGGAAAACTACGATAGTTGAGTGCATGAAGTGTTCAACACCTTTTTTTTTTTTTGGGGTTAAGTCATCTGGGTATTTGAAGTGCACTTTTCCTTTTTGGAATTTTGAGTGTGAACATACGCACACTATTTATACTACAAAATGTCATAGAATAGTTAATAAATACACAAATCGGGAAGCGCTTTAAGCTTACGAAACCTTAAATAGCCATCCTGCACTGTAAGACACCTTTGGACACATTAGGACTCAATGTACACATTTATGTGAAGGATGGTCAAAATACAAGGCCATAGTGAAATTAATTTTCTGGAATGTGTTTAGACCATTATTACCCTTTTACAGCCCGTTATGAAGCACAGGAATGC